CCCAGGCTCCCATCGGTCCCGGGGGCTTGAGTCATTAACCCCCCTCTCCTCCCCTCCCCTCCCACCGGTGCACTCGGCCAGAACGCCGTTGCAAGTTTATAGGACGGGGAAATCGGTTTGGTTGATCATTGACCTTTCAGCCATCAAAAGGTTGCAGCAAATCCTCAGCGCCAAACAAGCGACACAATTTCAGTTGATTAGAAGGGCCGCGGTGGGGGTGGCGTGTAGTGGGAGGGGGTTGTGGGAGGTTACCTCGCCACTGATCCAGCAGTGGCTATGAGACGTTAACTCCCTCGCCACGTGTGCAGGAGGCCGTGGGTTCGATCCCGACCCTGACGCCTGCTGCTGCGTATTTGCAGTTCGCGTGCCTCTCCTTCTCTCCGCGGTCGCGTGGATGTTTCTCCCGGGTCCTCCGTTTAAACAACATCGTGCTGTACTGGCAACGTTAACAATCGCACGATAAGTAAAAACCACACAGCCGCAGCATCGCCCCAAACAGCGGAACCACCGCTGACTAAACCCGCGTGCGCGTGTCAGACTCGCGCAGTGAGAACGGTGGCGACAAATACCAACTGCGATCACACTGGTCAACACACTTTGTCTGGCACGAGGTATTCCAAGGGTTTTAATGTAATTTGGACTTTTGCAGCTGTTCTAGACTAATTTCAGGGTGCTGATTCCAAATCTGGCATCAGTTTTTGTCTATCACATCAGGTTTTTGAGATATCAAATATTTGCATTTTCAATAAAAACTGCGGAAGAAAAATATTAAATAAATGTGGATATCTACATAAAATGATATTCTAAACACACTATCCTAAACATACAGCACCATATTTTAACACTAAAGCAGTCACTGACTCGCAACCACTTGCAATCATAAGTGACAGAGTTAATTTCGAGTAAAATCAATGAAAATGGGGTATGCCGATAGCATAAAAATGAGATGTTATAAAGCAAATCTGAGATCAGATTTGGAATCAGCACCCTGAAATTAGTCTAGAACAGCTGCAAAAGTCCAGGCCAGAAAAACATGTTGTTTTTTGTTGACCAGTGTAATTATTTGATTTCTGAGATGCCGCATCGGAGCCATAGAGCACAGGGTTTGTGTTTTATTGTCGTAGTTTTGTAATGGCTTCGTTCGTGGTGCGTGCCCGTCGTCGTGGTAATGAACACGGCGTGTTGTGTTCACTAAAGACAATTCCGCTCGTGCACAATGTTACAGGAAGCGCAGTTTGAAGTCATTCGGTACAAACTAATTGAATTTAGTCCATGGCCACGTGTATTGGCGGCAGAGAGAAGGAGCGGACCTTGTAACCAATTCAATTCGAGTCGTTCCCCGTCTCCGTTTTTTTGTTAGTTTTGTTAACCAGCCGAGATCCCATTGTCATCTGCAAGGGGTGGGGGAGGGGGGTAAATCCCCAGATCGAGCGCGTTTGTACGCCACAGAATTCGCAAGTACGCGACGGAGTTAGGCAACAGAACTGCCTCTCTCCCGCGGAGACTTGTTTTTTGCTTCGTTACTCGCACATCCCTCTGATCCTCCGAGGGCGCTGGGTCCACACCAACATCTCCCAACCGCAGCCGCTCCGATTCTGCCTTTTATTTTTTTGTGTTGCCGTGAATTTCCGTGGCTTATTTTTTTTTATTTCCCAGCGGATAAAGGATATTTCCCCCCACCGCCCCCCCGTGTCAAAGTGTATAACAGGAGCACTTTTCTAATAAAACATTTTTTTTTTAATAATAATAATCTGTAATTGTGGAGTGCTTTGATGTTGTCTGCCGGCCGTGTCGCCCTTGAAAAGGAGGGCTTGTCAGCTGGTCCGGGCTTTCCTCGTCCAGTGAAACTTCTGAACTTCTGAAAAAAATAGAGCTTCGTAGATCATCGGATTTCTCAAATTTAAAATAAATATTCTGATTCGTATAACTATAGACACACAACGTACGGAGGAGCGCTGTGTCCATGCCCTGCTGCTGGATGAATGCCTCCCCCTCGCCGTGGGCATTGTTTGACCATACTTCACCACGCTGGTCACCGCGGGGATGTGGTGAAAGGCAACCACGATGTGGTTCAGATGTGACTCACCGCTGATGTCAGCAGTGGCCGGGAATTGAAACTCAAGTTGCTGGATTTGCAGCGGAGTGCTGTAAACTAAACTAGAAAATAGTTAAGTTTAGTTTGTGTACATTTTGTAAGTGATTCGATTACCTTTCCTCTACTTAGGACTTCTATTGCGTCTCTGTATCGTTTGTTGTTGGCACGTTCTGACCTGCCCCGACTGGACATCTGTCTAAAAGAGCTTTATCGCTCATCGGATTCCTCCAGTATAAACATTCTGATGGTGTGCGCTAACAACTGCGCCACCGCTCCACGCCGAGCGCTCATGGTGCCAGCTCGTGCATTGTGCGCACACGCGGTGGTCACACACAACAACGCGTCTCATGAAGACAAAACACTCAGCACGTTCGTCAACAATGTTGTGGCCTTAAAATAAAACAAATTAGATGTTGGCCAATGGAATTTGCTGATATCACACACACACACACATACTCTTAGGTTGATTTTCTTTCGGTAAAGCCACGTAGGTAAAAAATTTAAATTAATAAAAGTAAAATAAAATAAAAATCACGACATTTCAGTTTGTACAAACTGAGTTGCAGTGGTGATGGTGGTGGTGATCATGGTGATGATGGTGGGGATGATGGTGGTGATGGTGGTGATGATGGTGGTGGTGATGGTGGTGGTGATGGTGGTGGTGATCATGGTGATGATGGTGGTGATGATGGTGGTGATGGTGGTGATGATGGTGATGATGGTGGTGGTGATGGTGGTAGTGATGGTGGTGGTGATGGTGGTGATGATGGTGGTGGTGATGGTGGTGATGATGGAGGTGGTGATGGTGGTGGTGATGGTGGTGTTGATGGTGGTGATGATGGATGTGGTGATGTTGGAAGTAGAGGTCGTGGTGTTGGTGGACGTTACAGTGGTGGTGGTAATAGTGGAGGTGGTGGTGATGGTAGTGATGGAGGTGGCCTCACCACCACCACCATCACTCACCACCACCACCCTCACCACCATCACTCACCACCACCACCCTCACCACCATCACTCACCACCATCACCCTCACCATCACTCACCACCATCACTCACCACCATCACTCACCACCGTGATGATGATGATGATGAGAGAGATCGAACCCACGACCTCCTGTAGACCAGGCGAGGTGGTCAACATCTCATAGCCACCGTGATGATGATGATGAGAGAGATCGAACCCACGACCTCCTGTAGACCAGGCGAGGTGGTCAACATCTCATAGCCACCGTGATGATGATGATGAGAGAGATCGAACCCACGACCTCCTGTAGACCAGGCGAGGTGGTCAACATCTCATAGCCACCGTGATGATGATGATGAGAGAGATCGAACCCACGACCTCCTGTAGACCAGGCGAGGTGGTCAACATCTCATAGCCACCGTGATGATGATGATGAGAGAGATCGAACCCACGACCTCCTGTAGACCAGGCGAGGTGGTCAACATCTCATAGCCACCGTGATGATGATGATGAGAGAGATCGAACCCACGACCTCCTGTAGACCAGGCGAGGTGGTCAACATCTCATAGCCACCGTGATGATGATGATGAGAGAGATCGAACCCACGACCTCCTGTAGACCAGGCGAGGTGGTCAACATCTCATAGCCACCGTGATGATGATGATGAGAGAGATCGAACCCACGACCTCCTGTAGACCAGGCGAGGTGGTCAACATCTCATAGCCACCGTGATGATGAGAGATCGAACCCACGACCTCCTGTAGACCAGGCGAGGTGGTCAACATCTCATAGCCACACGGAGCCATCGGAACGGATAATTTAATCGATGATAATCGATCATCAGAGAGAGGGAGACACGCAAAACGATGATTATAATCGATGGGAATCGATTAGCAGAGAGAGACGCGCAAACCAACGATTAGAATCGATGAGAATCGAACAAACGATTCCCGGGGACGTCATAACCCGGAGACCATCGCCAAGTTCAAGATGGCGGCACCCAGGTTGGAGGTTGTTGTGGTGGTGGTTGTTGTTATGGTTGTGGTGGTTGTTGTGGTGGTTGTGGTGGTGGTTGTTGTGGTGGTGGTTGTTGTGGTGGTTGTTTGGTGGTGGTTGTTTGTGTGGTGGTGGTGGTTCTTGTTGTGGTGGTTGTTTGTGTGGTGGTGGTTGTTGTGGTGGTTGTTGTGGTGATGGTTGTTGTTGTTTGTGTGGTGGTGGTTGTTGTGGTGGTTGTTGTTTGTGTGGTGGTGGTTGTTGTGGTGGTTGTTGTGATGGTTGTTGTTTGTGTGGTGGTGGTTGTTGTGGTGGTTGTTGGGTTTAACGAGGCTGCATTGTGTGAGGAGCTCACAAATTCTTGAAAGATCTGGTCAAAGTCCCATCAGTGAGCTCCTCCGGCAGGCAAGGCTGCGTTGGCTGGGTCATGTAGCCCGCATGCCCAGCCACCGCATGCCTAAACAGCTTTTGTTCGTACGGATCGAGGGGGCTAAACGGGCGTGGCACGGGCTAGAGAAGAGATGGAGTGATGTGGTACAGGAGGACGTGGAGCTGAGTGGACTTGCCGATGACTGGTACCAGCGGTGTCAAGATCGGCCTCTGTGGAGGAGGCTCGTGAAGGACGCTACTGGGCAGTTGGAGGCAGTCGCCCTCCAACAACAACGGAGGGCGGAGGAGCGACGCTCACAACAACGAGCGGAGCGCCGGGTGGCTAAAGCACAACAAGTTGGCACAGTTGGGGGCACAGGTGGTGCATCAGCCAGTCATCTCGGTCATCTCAGTCTGTCGACCTGTGGCACCTGGGTCTGCCCCGTGACCTCCTGCCAGCGGGCGTTCGACACTTCACGTGGCCTCGGTTCACGTGGCCTGGCACAAGCGTCGTGGTGACATCACCGCCACTTAGTGGCGAATGGCGGTTGCTGTTGTTGTAATGTGTGTGTGTCTGTGTGTAATGTCTACACACACACACGCTCACCTCTCCCCCACTCTCCCCCTCCCAGGCCGAAGGACTTTGTCACCACCATGGCCACCACGGCCCTCCTGTCTGACGCTCCACGCCCTGCTCCTGCTGCTGCTGCCCCTGCTGCTGTCCTGCTGCTGCCCCTGCTGCTGCTGCCCCTGCTGCTGCTGCCCCTGCTCCTGCTGCCCCTGCTGCTGCTGTCCCTGCTGTCCCTGCTGCCCCTGCTACTGCCCCTGCTGTCCCTGCTGCTCCTGCTGCCCCTGCTGCCGCCGCACCACCGCTTGGCTCCCTGCCGCGCCGCTGGTGGTCCGGCTTTGTGGGCGCTCTCGGAGACTGCTTCTTCACCACCAGCACCGCCACCGCTGCCAACACCGCCGGAGGGGGGCGGCAGAGAGAGAGAGGAGGCTTCTCGGTGGGGGAGGGTGGGGGAGGTGGTGGTGTTGGTGGTATTGGCGGTGGTGTTGGCGGTGGTGGTGGTGGCGGTGTTGGCGGTGGCGGTGGTGGCGGTGGTGTTGGCGGTGGTGTTGGCGGTGGTGGTTGTGGTGTTGGCGGTGGTGGTGGTGGCGGTGGTGGTGGTGTTGGCGGTGGTGGTGTTGTTGGCGGTGGTGGTTGTGGTGTTGCCGTTGGTGGCGGTGATTGCGAGCAATCTGACAAGTTGGCGGTGGCGGTTGTGGTGTTGGCGGTGGTGGCGGTGGTGGCGGTGGTGGGGATGTTGCCGTTGGTGGCGGTGATTGCTACCCACACTCACCACCCACACTCACTACCCACACTCACCACCACCCACACTCACCACCCACACTCACCACCACCCACACTCACCACCCACACTCACTACCCACACTCACCACCACCCACACTCACCACCACCCACACTCACTACCCACACTCACCACCACCCACACTCACCACCAACTCACACTCACCACCACCCACACTCACCACCACCTCACACTCACCACCACCCACACTCACCACCACCCACACTCACCACCACACCACACTCACCACCCACACTCACCACGCTCACCACCCACGCTCACCACCACCCACACTCACCACCCACGCTCACCACCACCCACACTCACCACCACCCACACTCACTACCCACACTCACCACCACCCACACTCACCACCCACACTCACTACCCACACTCACCACCACCCACACTCACTACCCACACTCACCACCACCCACACTCACCACCCACACTCACTACCCACACTCACCACCACCCACACTCACCACCCACACTCACCACCACCCACACTCACCACCACCCACACTCACTACCCACACTCACCACCACCCACACTCACCACCCACACTCACTACCCACACTCACCACCACCCACACTCACCACCACCCACACTCACTACCCACACTCACCACCACCCACACTCACCACCCACACTCACCACCACCCACACTCACCACCACCCACACTCACCACCACCCACACTCACCACCACCCACACTCACCATCACCCACACTCACCACCACCCACACTCACCACCCACACTCACCACGCTCACCACCCACGCTCACCACCACCCACACTCACCACCCACGCTCACCACCACCCACACTCACCACCACCCACACTCACCACCCACACTCACCACCCACACTCACCATCACCCACACTCACCACCACCCACACTCACCACCCACACTCACCACGCTCACCACCCACGCTCACCACCACCCACACTCACCACCCACGCTCACCACCACCCACACTCACCACGCACCCTCACCACCCACACCACGCTCACCACCCACGCTCACCACCCCTACCCCAGGCACGCTGTGGAACCTGTCGTGCCACGAGTCTCTGAGGGCTGCGCTGGTGGCGCTTTGCCTCCCGGCGCTGGTGGAGCACGTGCTGGTGCCAGGGAGCGGCTGGAGGAGCAACTTTGGAGACTCGCTCTCCTCGCCCTCCTCACCCTCCTCACCCTCCTCACCCTCCTCGCCCTCCTCGCCCTCCTCACCCTCCTCACCCTCCTCACCCAGCTCGCCCTCCTCACCCAGCTCGCCCGCCTCGCCTTCCGCGGCGTTCTGCAACGCCTTGGCGTGCCTACGGTAAGGGGCGGTGATTTCGTGGTGGACGCGACGGGGAACGCCGCGGTTGACACGACGTCATGCGGTGGACGCGACGGGGAACGTCGGGGGTTCACGTCACGGCGGTGACATTGCAGGGAGTTGAGCTCGGCAGATCCGGACCGACGGCTGAGCACGTGGAAGGGCGAGGGGCTGGTGGACTGCGTGCTGCGCTTCGTCCGCTCGGCACTGAGAGGGCGCAACATCGAGACCAAGGTGACCCCCACAGCGCGATGGGTAGCGGTGGTGTAGCGGTTAGCGCTACGCTGCTCTATGAACCCGGCGGCGGGTCCAAGTGTGTCGAGTCCAACTCGGTCGCAGACGTTGTCTTGGGAGCAACACTCTTCAGCAACACAACACAAGCTACACTTGGGTGTTGACCGCGTGACTAGAGGCTTCTTCAACCCGATGCGGATCTTCATCGCCAGCAACACGAAGAACCCCGAGCCCCTCACTCTTTGGTCTGCATCAGCAGCAGGCCACGCTTTCCCGCCCGTTGACAGACACTTGCGTGGCGTCCGAAACGTCGTGATTTAATTTAGTTTTTATTTTATTTTTCACCTACGTGACTTTACCGAAAACACCAAAGAGTATGAATCATCGCAGTCGCGAAAACTTCAGATCTACAACCCCTCGCCCCGCCCACCTTCTAGATCTTTCCGGCTCTTTCCCGAAGGCTCCCCGAAGGCTCTTGTAGACCACGTGACCGCCCAGCGGCCCCCCGTCCACCGGTGGCCCCCTCCAATATCATCCGGTCACGTGTCGGCAGGTCAACCGGCGTATCGTGCCCCAACGTAACCCTGGCTGGCTGACGCTCCCTCTCGCTCCCTCTCGCTCCCTCGCCGGGAGCCCGCACCGCACGCTGTACACGGTGCCTCCGCGCTGACCAGCGCTCACCCAGGCCCCGCTAGGGCTGGCGGTACTACGCCCAGTGAGCGGGCTGCACGTAATGCCAACACATCATCCGCCGTGGCTTCGTAAGCCCGGCACCACACAGTGACAATCACAGTCACGACACAAGCAAGAACATCTGCTGGACTACATTGTGACGGACCAGTGCATGCGGGCCCATGTCCTTGACACCAGGAGCTGATTTGCCCACTGACCATTGACTTGTCATCTGCAAGATGCGCCTGCCATTCTTCCACTCCGGTGGGGGGTGTACACCCAGGACCCCATTTAAACCCATCGTGGCATGGCCTCAGCTAGCTGATTAAAGTTTCAAGCAAGAATTTCATCATCGCTTGCGGCTAGGGTTGGCATCGCCCCCCACTCCTCATGTCGAGGGGAAATGGGCGAGGTTTAGGACTGTGGCTCATGCAGCTGCAATGGCTACTTTGGGTACACGGTCCATACCTCCTCAGAGACCCTAGCTGACAAAAGAGGTGTTCAGGCTGGCTGAGAAAAAGCGACAGGCCCTCTCTCATCGTCTACAGCATCCCACGTCAGAGAATGAGGAAGCTTACCGCAGCCTTCGCTCGGAGGTTCGGAGAGCCGTGAGGCGCTGCAAGGATGGGTGGTGGTCGTGGGTTACTGAGGAGATGGAGTCTGCCTCAATGGCCTGCGATCACATATCGCTGTTTATTTCCATAAAAAGTAACCTGCAGCGCCATACCTATTACCATCATTAGGGAAACGAACGGTGATCCAATCTCCGACCCCCAGGAACAGGTTTGCAGATTTGCTGAGCATTTTTGTGAGGTCCTGGGGGAGGGGAAATACCCCAGCCTGGAAAACATCATGGCACAAAGTGGGGATGACCCTGCTGAGGCTGCGGTGCCTCAAATATTGGAAGAGGAAGTCACCCCCTGTGAGTGCCTGGCTGAGGTGCCATCTGTTGAGGAAGTACTGAAAGCATTCCATAGCCTGAGACCAGGAAAGGCACCAGGCAGAGATGATCTCCCAAGTGTTGTGTGGTTATTCCTGACACCACTGGAGACTTGTAAATCCACACGGAGACGGAGCTTCATGTAAGGGCTTGCGCCAGTTGTTTTATTAAACACTCTTCACACGACTCTGCTTACACTCTGAGTACTGCTGCACAATCACTGCCTATGCTGCACACCTGACGCCTTCGCCCGTCATGGTGCAGGCGTCGGACCTCTGGCTGCACGTGGAACTGTCTCCCATTACTCCACGCCCCGCCACGGCTCCCCCTCGTCTGCCCCGGGCGGGGGCACGCCGCCATCACCGCCCGGCGACGAGGTTGGGCTTCTAACCCTCGAGCCTTCCTCCTTCGGCGGCGGCGGCTGGGCTGTTCCCGCTGCAGGCACACGTTCCCGTGTCCTATCACACTCCACACCCCAGGGGAAGGGTACTGGGGATTCCTAGCACACCGGTAGGTTACCCTAGCCTGGTGCTAAAAATAGTGTAGTGTATAGTAGTGTGGTGTGTAGTGTATAGTGTAGTGTATATTGTATAGTAGCGTAGTGTATAGTAGCACCACCAGCACCACCACCACCACCACCTCCCTCCTTCACCACCAGCACCACCAGCAACACCACCACGGGGAGTGTCGGCGAATCTCCAGGCGGGCTACATCAGTCCGGCCGTCATGTCCACGTAGTCCTAGCGCACACAGACAAGCAGACCCCCCATTGTGTGGCCTCAAACAGGCTGTCGGAGCAAGTGATGTTCGTGGGTAGAGGTGGAGAGAGATGGGGGAGAGGTGGGGGAGAGATGGGGGAAAGATGGGGGAGAGATGACAAAGACCAAGATCCCCGTGTAGCCTGAACAGACTGTAGGGGCAAGTGCTGTTAGCGAGTAGCAGCACCTATGAAGGCTACCGGCGCTGTGGCACACGAGGGGGTGGGTGGCCAGCACCACGCCCGGCCGCCTTTGTCTCCCCGGCGGCGATGTTTAATACACATACCACGTCAGGTACTCGATTGAGGCTGAGTCGACCTAGTGGAGACCCGGGACCAGAACAGATCATCGCTATCACTGGTGTGAAGAAGATCAACGTTTAGTCCTTTTAAAATAAACATGTCATCATGGCCAAAGCCACCGCCGCCACCACCACCACCACCGCCACCACCACCACCACCGCCACCACTGCCGCCACCACCACCGCCACCACCCGCCGCCACCGCCACCACCACCACCACTTCTCTTCCCTCTACGGCATCCTGCGAGCGTGGTGGCAAGCGGGAGGTCGCAGGTTCGACCCCTACGGCCTGACGACCCCCACGTCTCCATCTCTCTCTCTGCCCCGTGGCCCATGTCGCCCCCCCCCCCCTCCCGGACGGGGCAGCGGTCACCTCGTCACGGCGGCCCCCGTTGGCCACGAGGATCCGCCCCAAGTCGTCCGCCAGCCGCGCGAACGTCGGTCTGTCGCTGGGGACGGTCGCCCAGCACTCGCTCATCGTCGCGTGTCTGCGCACGGCGACACGCGAGTCAAGTTCAACACGCGCCGTGCGTGTACACCGTGCGCACGGCGTACACGCAATGTGCACAGACATGCAGCTACTACATTTACAATCATAGAGTAGTGTATAGTGTAGTGTATAGTGTAGTGGATAGAGTAAACCCACTACTGTATTTACAATTATAGAGTAGTGTATAGTGTAGTGTATAATGTAGTGGATAGAGTAAACCCGCTACTGTATTTACAAGTATAGTGTAGTGTATAGTGTAGTGTACAGAGTAAACCCACTACTGTATTTACAATTATAGTGTAGTGTATAGTGTAGTGTACAGAGTAACCCCACTACTGTATTTACAAGTATAGTGTAGTGTATAGTGTAGTGTGTAGTGTATAGTGTAGTGTATAATGTAGTGTATAGAGTAAACCCACTACTGTATTTACAATTATAGTGTAGTGTATAGTGTAGTGTATAGTGTAGTGTATAGAGCAGGGGTCCTCAAACTTTTCAAACAGGGGGCCAGTTCACTGTCCCTCAGATCGTTGGAGGGCCGGACTATAGTTACAAAAAAAAACTATGAACAAATTCCTATGCACACTGCATATATCTTATTTTGAAGTGAAGAAACAAAACGGGAACAAATACAATATTTAAAATGAAGAACAAGTACGTTAAATCAACAAACTTGCCAGTATTTCAATGGGAACTATGGGCCTGCTTTTGGCTAATGAGATGGTCAATGTCCGGTTCCATATTTGTCACTGCTAGTCGTAACAAGTGATGCAAGTGTGCAACCATTAGTCTAGATCTGGTTGGAGATTTCAAATGTTTCATTCTGGAAAAAGTCTGTTCACAGACATAAGTGCTGCCAAAGATGGTTGCCATTTTGAGTGCATGGTTCCTGAGATGAGGATATGTCTCAGAGGGGAGAGATGCATATCAAGAGGAATTTAGCATATTTATGGGAAATGCAGGAATGTGATTAGTACTACATATGCAGCACGGACATATGTAGTACTAATAACATTCCTGCATTTCCCATAAATATGCTAAATTCCTCTTGATATGCAAATTCTTTTGTCAAGGCGCCCTTTCCCCCGCTTCCAACCCAGCTTATATATGCTCCAAGCTCGTGTGCTGTTTCATTCAGACGCTGTCTCCCCAACAGACCTGGTTTTCACCTGAGGACGGCTGCTTGCGTTGTGGCCGAAACGTCGTGAGAATTATTTTATTACTTCCCTTCTATGTGACTTTACCGAAAGAACCAAGAAGATGAATCCCTGCAGTCACGAAAGCTTTAAATCGAAAGATATCCTCTCCTGTAGTTGTTCCATTGATGCTTTGCAGTGCAGCAAGCTCTTCTGTGACTTCGAAATAGTCATTCGTCCCACGAATAAAAATTAGAAGTTGTGCAGAATCACGAACATCATTGCTTTCGTCGAGTGCCAAGGAAAAATAGGAAAGTTTTTTTGTGGAGTTTTGCAAATGCTGATGCAAATTGTCTCCCATTTCTTCAATCCTCCGTGTAATTGTAGGTCCTGAAAGACTCACTGTACTAAATAAATCGGCCTTCTCTGGACACATCTCTTTGGCAACAGAAAGAAGGCATTCTTTAACAAATTCTCCCTCCACGAATGGTCTGCCAGTGCACGCTATTAGCTTGGCAACTTAAAAACTTGCTCGCAGTGATGAAATATTTAGCTGCTTCTGCTTCACAAAAGTATTTTGCTGAGTTGCCAATGTATTTTTCAGTTTTAATATTTTATCTTTTCTCACTTCTCCGACCAAACAAGCATATTTATCTTTATGTTGAGTTTCATAGTGTCGACGTAAATTGTATTCTTTGAACACAGACACTATATTCTGGCATATCAGACACACAGCTCTTTCCTTGTACTGCATGAAAAAGTAATCATAAGTCCACTGTTCTTTGAATATCCTACACTCCGAGTCAATTTTTCTCTTTCTTGACATCATTGTTTCCTAGGGAGTCAAAATTGCTATTAGTAAAATACCAATATATATACAGCGCTACAAAAACAATATACCAGCAATAACTTTGCCCACACAGAGACTTACAGACTGTACTGCCCATCAATGCAGTCTGATTGGGGGGAACTCCGCCCCCTCTCCCTCTTCCACCAATGACCGTCCTTCTCATGTATAAAAAAAGTAACAGACAGGCAGCGGCGGCAAAAACACCCAGCGGGCCGGATAAATGTCCTCGGCGGGCCGCATGTGGCCCGCGGGCCGTAGTTTGAGGACCCCTGGTATAGAGTAATAATAACAACAACATCAACGAACGACGCTCCTGTAGGTAACATGACGTCATCGTCGTAGTCGTCGTTGCGATCTCCGATTCCTACTCACAGCTCGTCGGAGCAGAGGGCAGGCCGCTCCATGCGGTAGCCGTCACCGAGCAGCTTGAAAAGCTTTTCCACGGGGACGCCCGGGTACGGAGAGCCCCCCAGGGTGAAGATCTCCCACAGCAGCACCCCGTAGGACCACCTGCACACACATACGCACAAACACGCGCACACATGCAAATGCATGCACAACCACACACACACGCATACACATGCATGCTCACGCACGTACACAACAACAACAACCGCCATTCGCCACTAAGTGGTAGTGACATCACCACGGCGCTTGTGCCAGGCCATGTGCACCTTGAGGCCACGTGAATTGTCGAACGCCCGCTGGCAGGAGGTCACGGGGCAGACCCAGCAGGTGCCACGGGTCGACTGACTGAGATGACCGAGATGACTGGCTGATGCACCACCTGTGCCCCCGACTGCCAACTTGCTGTGCTTTAGACATCCGGCGCTCCGCTCGTTGTTGTGAGCGTCGCTCCTCCGCTCTCCGTTGTTGTTGGAGGGCGACTGCCTCCAACTGCCCAGTAGCGTCCTTCACGAGCCTCCTCCACTGAGGCCGATCTTGACACCGCTGGTACCAGTCATCAGCAAGTCCACTCAGCTGCACGTCCTCCTGTACCACATCACTCCATCTCATCTCTAGCCCGTGCCGCGCCCGTTTAGCCCCCTCAATTCGGCCGAACAAAAGCTGTTTAGGCAAGCGTAGATAAGGGAGGGAATGACTGGCCGAGAAGGCCTGAAGCTTCGTGCGGAGCCGGTCATAAGCACACTGCCCAGGTATGGGAAACTCTCCACTCTCTGCACAACTGCCCTATCACCAATTGGGAGTTGTGGGGGTGGAGTGTCCAATGGTACAAAATACCCAGGCAGGTGCTGATGGTAAGGCTCCACCTCTTAGTGGCACACTCCAGTTTCAGCAGAAGCATCTCTAACTTCTCCTTTGAATGAGCAGCAATTACCAAATCATCGGCATACGTAACATGGTTGAGCAATAGGGAGCCATCCCTTGACCAAACCCGGGCATCGAATAGCCTCCCATTGCATCTGTACCACATGGAAATTCCTCCGGTACAGCTACTGAATGTTTCACGAACTACGTGGTTGAAATAGATGTTACATAATGTGGGAGCCAGAGGACATCCCTGTCGCACCCTAAAGTAAACAGCGAATGTCTCCGACTCCCGGCCACGTAGTTTTACCCGGGCCCGCTCACCATCATGAAGGTCCTTAATGATCGCGAGCAGAGGGTCAGGTACTCCGAAAGCACGAAGAACAACCCAGAGCCCATGCCTACTGATAGTATCATAGACCTTGACCGGGTCAATAAAGCAGAGATGTAGGTATTGTTGGAATTCCATCCACCTCTGCTGTAGCAGACAGACAGAAAATATGGCATCTGTGCAGGACCGGCCTTTCCTGAAACCACATTGGGGCTCCTCAAGCCTCTCCTCAGCGTGCCTAGCAAGGCGATGTTGAATAATCCTTGCCAGGACCTTTCCCGGCACACTGAGGAGTGAGATGCCCCTGTAGTTGTTACAGTCTGTGCGGTCCCCCTTCTTAAAGAGTGGGACCACCAGGGCATCCTTCCAATCCTGCGGAACCCATCCATTGGTCCAGACTGTCGTTATGATGTCATGTAGGGCAGTCTGTGCACAAACGCCACTCTCCCTCAGCATGTCGCTTGGGAGATGATTTTTGCCCGGTGCCTTTCCTGGTCTGACTCTGGATCGCCTTCAGTACTTCCTCAACAGATGGCACCTCAGCCAGCAACTCACAGGGGGTGACTTCTTCCTCCAATATTTGAGGCACCGCAGCCTCAGCAGGGTTATCCCCACTTTGCCCCATGATGTTTTCCAGGCTGAGGAATTTCCTCTCCCCCAGGATCTCAAAAATTCTCAGAAAATCTGCAAACCTGTTCCTGGGGGGTCAGAGATTCCCCTAATGATGGTAATAGGTGTGGCACTGTAGGTGACTTTTTTGATGGAGTTAAATAGTGATTTGTGATCGTGGGCCACTGAAGAAGACTCCATCTCCTCAGCAACCCGTGACCACCACCCATTCTTGCAGCGCCTCACGGCTCTCCGAACCTCCGAGCGAAGGCTGCGGTAAGCCTCTTCATTCTCTGACGTGGAATGCTGTCGACGATTAGAGTGGGCCTGTCGCTTTTTCTCAACCATCCTGAACTCCTCCTCTGTCAGCAGTGTGTCTGCTGACGTCACGCTCCCCCCCCCCCAAACCCTCCGCGTAGGCCGTGTGTTAACCCAAGTCTCAGGCGAAGCCGGGTAGTAAAGCGAGTATTTGTATAATTGGCTAAGATGTGATTATTGCTGTGTTTTGTGATACTATTATTCTTCTCATTTCTTTCTTATTTTTTTTATTTTCTCTCTATTTTTACTTACGACTGACCTTCATATATGACCAAATACCCATCCCAAACGGCGTTAAAAACACAAAAAGAACCAATAAAAAAAAACTTCTCGCAGTGATCTCGCAGTGATCTTTGTATCTCAAAAACCCCCTGGCTGGAGGTGAGTGAGGGGACCAAAACAATGTACGCGGTTTTTCCAGATCGTGGGGGGCCCGCGCCCTTAACCCCCGAGATGTGGAAGGGTCGACCGTATACAGCGGTAGCAGGCAGTGTCAGGGTCTGGATGGAACCCACGACCTCCTGCGTACCAGCCGAGGTAGTCAACGTGTCACAGCCACTCACACAGGCAGTGTCAGGGTCTGGATGGAACCCACGACCTCCTGCGTACCAGCCGAGGTAGTCAACGTGTCACAGCCACTCACACAGGCAGTGTCAGGGTCTAGATGGAACCCACGACCTCCTGCGTACCAGCCGAGGTAGTCAACGTGTCACAGCCACTCACACAGGCAGTGTCAGGGTCTAGATGGAACCCACGACCTCCTGCGTACCAGCCGAGGTAGTCAACGTGTCACAGCCACTCACACAGGCAGTGTCAGGGTCTGGATGGAACCCACGACCTCCTGCGTACCAGCCGAGGTAGTCAACGTGTCACAGCCACTCACACAGGCAGTGTCAGGGTCTGGATGGAACCCACGACCTCCTGCGTACCAGCCGAGGTAGTCAACGTGTCACAGCCACTCACACAGGCAGTGTCAGGGTCTGGATGGAACCCACGACCTGTGTACCAGCCGAGGTAGTCAACGTGTCACAGCCACTCACACAGGCAGTGTCAGGGTCTAGATGGAACCCACGACCTCCTGCGTACCAGCCGAGGTAGTCAACGTGTCACAGCCACTCACACGTCGCTCCGCTGTGTGTAGACGCGGTGCAGCAACGCCTCCGGTGCCATCCACTTCACCGGCAGGCGTCCCTGGAGGGGCGACAGGTGACGAGGGGAGGTCAACGACGCACAGCCTGACCCTTGACCCTTGACCCACCACCACCACCCTTTTATCCACCACCACCCTCTCCCCTACCTCCCTCTCTTTTCTTTTTTACGATCAGAGGAAACAAGAAGATGCTCGGTGTAGTCGGCACTTTGCTTCGTTCATCATTTCGTAATTTTTTTCAATGTTTTGCTTATGTGCCCCCCCTCTTCTTTTTTTCAAATGAAAGATTTCATGAAAGATTCTCTCTCTTCTCTCTCCCCCCCCCCCTTCCCCGGGCATGACCACCGCCACCACCACCACCTCCTCCACCGCCACCACCGCCACCACCTCCACCACCGCCACCACCACCACCCTCCACCACCGCCTCCACCGCCGCCACCGCCGCCACCACCGCCACCACCGCCACTCACGGCAGCAGTCTTGTGCTGGTAGTAGTAGTCACGTTCGCCGCCCACGTCGCGGGTGAGGCCCAGATCAGCGATTTTCACCGAATAGCCGCCACCAACTCCGCCGTCAACGACGAGGACGTTCCTGGCCGCCAGGTCCCGGTGAACGCACTGTGACACCGACACACACGGTGCGTGGGTAGGTGTGTGTGGGTAGGAGATGTGTGTGGGTAGGGGTGTGTGGGTAGGAGATGTGTGTGTAGGGGTGTGTGGGTAGGGGTGTGTGGGTAGGTGTGTGTGGGTAGGGGTGTGTGGGTAGGGGTGTGTGGGTAGGGGTGTGTGGGTGCCGGACGGGCAACTCTGTCATGGACAGTGCTGTGGGGGGAGGGCCAATGCCGATTGGCCTCTCCCGTCATGGCGTCTGCGACCACCACAGTGGCTAAACGGGGGCTCTGGACGGGTGCAATGGGTTGGTAACCCCTCCACCTTCAATTAATTACCACTAAACCACAAATTAAATATGTAACTAATAAGTTTGTGGCGCAGGCCATGGGGGGGGGACAGGTGTCTATGACGTCTCCTGGCCAAACCCCAATTGTCGGAACCAGGAGATTGAATCTTCACCCTTGGGGCTTCTCCAGAAACAACGAAAAACCACTTCGTGTGGCGAGGTGGAATGTTCGAACACTCACTGCGGAGGAGAGGCTGCCACTCCTTTGTCGGGAGCTGGACCGGTACCGCCTGGATCGTTGTGGCATTCAGGAGGTCCGGTGGACCGGTCCTGGCTCCTGCCACCATAAGGGGTGGACAGTCCTTTACTCGGGGCAGGAGACTGCCAAACAACAGGGTCTGGCTCTTCTTCTGAACAAAAAAATGAAGGGGGCGTGGGAGCATGGCGGTGAGGTGTGGGAAGCTGTAAGCCCCAGGCTACTGTGGGCTCGCCTTCCCATCAACCGGAGACGAGGAGTGGTGGTCGTGGTTACTTATGCTCCCACCGAACACGAACATCCGTGGAGGGATGCAGGCAAAGCCGATGAGTCAAATGCCTTCTATGACCTCCTGTCACAGGTGCTGGCTAGATTGGCCACTCGGGATAGAGTCATCTTGTTGGGTGACTTCAATGCCTGAGTTGGTCATGATGCTGGCAGCTGATCTGGAGTGATTAGAAGGCATGGGCCAGATCAGCTCAATAACAACGGTAGGAGGCTGCTAGATTTTTGTGCAGCCCATGGGCTTGTAATTACCAACACGCTCTTCCGGCATTGGCGCATCCACACAACATCATGAATGCATGACGGGTCCAAGCAAAAACATCTGCTGGTCTACATAGTGACGGACCAGCGGATGCGAGCCCATGTCCTTGACACCAGGACCTACCGTGGAGCTGATATGCCCTCTGACCATCGACTAGTCATCTGTAAGATGCGCCTGCCATTCTTCCACTCCGGTGGTGGGTGTACACCCAGGACCCCCTTCCAACCTAAAGTGGCCTGGTCTCAGCTGATGAAAGTTGCAAGTGAGAATTTCATCATTGCTTGCAGATGGGGTTGGCATCGTCCCAACTCCTCCTGATGTCGAGGGTTAATGGGCGAGGTTTAGGACTGTGGCTCATGCAGCTGCAATGGGTGCTTTGGATACGCGGTCCAGACCTCTCCAGAGACCCTGGCTGACAGAGGAGGTATTCAGGATAGTTGAGAAAAAGCGACATGCCCACTCTAATCGTCGACAGCATCCCACGTCAGAGAATGAGGAGGCTTACCGCAGCCTTCGCTCGGAGGTTCGGAGAGCCGTGAGGCGCTGCAAGGATGGGTGATGGTTATGGGTTGCTGAGGAGACGGAGTCTGCCTGAGTGGCTCACGATCACAAATCACTATTTAACTCCATCAAAAAAGTTATCTGCAGCGCCACACCTATTTCCATCATTAGGGGAAAAAACGTTGATCCAATCTCCGACCCCCAGGAACAGGTTTGCAGATTTGCTGAGCATTTCTGTGAGGTCCTGGGGGAGGGGAAATCCCTCAGCCAGGAAAACATCATGGCGCAAAGTGGGGATAACCCTGCCGAGGCTGCGGTGCCTCAAATATTGGAGGAAGAGGTCACCCCCTGTGAGTGGCTGGCTGAGGTGCCATCTGTAGAGGAAGTACTGAAGGCGATCCGGAGTCTGAGACCAGGACAGGCACCGGGCAGAGATAATCTCCCAAGCGAAATGCTGAGGGAGGGTGGCGTTTGTGCACAGACTGCCCTACATGATATCATAAAAAAAAAGTCTTGACCACTGGACGGGTTCCGGAGGATTGGAAGGATGCCCTGGTGGTCTCCCTCTTTAAGAAGGGGGACGACACAGACTGTAACAACTACAGGGGCATCTCACTCCTGTGTGCCGGGAAAGGTCCAGGCAAGGATTATTCAACATCGCCTTGCTAGACACACTGAGGAGAGGCTTGCGAGCCCCAATTCGGTTTCAGGAAAGGGCGGTCCTGCACAGATGCCATATTTTCTGTCTGTCTGGTACAGCAGAGGTGTAGGGAATTCCAACAAGACCTACATCTCTGCTTTATTGACCTGGTCAAGGCCTATGATACCATCAGGAGGCCTGGGCTCTGGGTTGTTCGTGCTTTCGGAGTCCCTGATCCACTGCTCACGATCATTAAGGACCTTCATGATGGTGAGTGGGCCCGGGTAAAACTACGTGGCCGGGAGTCGGAGACATTCGCTGTTTATTTTGGGGTGCGACAGGGATGTCCTCTGGCTCCCACATTATGTAACATCTATTTCGACCACGTAGTTCGTGAAACCTTCAGTAGCTGTACCGGAGGAATTTACATGTGGTACAGATACAATGGGAGGCTGATTGATGCCCAGGTGCGGTCAAGGGATGGCTCCCTATTGCTCAACCATGTTATGTATGCCGATGATCTGGTAATAGCTGCTCACTCAGAAGAGGAGTTGGAGGCACTGCTGCTGGAACTGGAGCGTGCCACTAAGATGTGGGGACTTATCATCAGCCCCACCAAAACTAAGCACCTGCCTGGGTATTTTGTACCATCGGACACTCCACCCCTACAACTCCCAACTGGTCTTGGGGCAGTTGTGCAGAGAGTGGAGAGTTTCCCATACCTGGGCAGTGTGCTCATGACCGGCTCCGGTTTGACAGCAGAGGTCTCACTCCGAATCAGTCGAGCGGCAATATCTTTTCATTGGTTGCATACCGCTGTGTGGAAGCTACCTGGTCTGTCGCTCCGCACGAAACTTCAGGTCCTCTCGGCCACAGCCATTCCCTCCTTTCTCTACGCTTGCGAAACATGGACCCCCCTAATGGAGCATCTTCACCGGTTAGAAATATTTAGGCTGGCCTGCCTACGATCCATCCTGGGTTTAACCAGGCTGGATTGTGTGAGGAGCTCATATATCCTTGAAAGATCTGGACGAAGTCCCATCGGTGAGCTCCTCCGGTAGGCAAGACTGTTGGCTGGGCCATGTCGCCCGCATGCCCAGCCACCGCATGCCTAAACAGCTTTTGTTCGGCCTGGATTGAGGGGGCTAAACGGGCGCAACACTGGGCTAAAGAAGAGATGGAGTGATGTGGTACAGGAGGACGTGGAGCTGAGTAGACTTGCCGATGACTGGTACCAGCGGTGTCAAGATCGGCCTCTGTTGAGGAGGCTCGTGAAGGACGCTACTGGGCAGTTGGATGCAGTCGCCCTCCAACAACAACGAAGGGCAGAGGAGCGACGCTCACAACAACGAGCGGAGCACCGGGTGGCTAAAGCGCAGCCAATTGGTACAGTAGGGGGCACAGGTGGTGCATCAGCCAGTCATCTCGGTCATCTCAGTCAGTCAACCCGTGGCACCTGGGTCTGCCCCGTGACCTCCTCGACATTTCACGTGGCCTCAAGGTGCACATGGCCTGGCACAAGCGTCGTGGTGACGTCACCGCCACTTAGTGGCGAATGGCGGTTGTTGTTGTTGTTCTAGATTTGAAGCTTTCGTGACTGCAAGGATTCATACTCTAAGTTTATTCAGTAAAGTCACGTAGGTAGAAAATGAAATTTAAATTAATAAAAATAAAATAATAAAAATCACGACGTTTTGGAGGCAACACAAGTCTCCGTCGTCTGGTGGGACCGTCACAGCCAGACTTGCTGTATCAAGTGAGGCAGGGATTCCAAGATGCAAGTTCTTAACTTGTATTTAAGATTTTTATTATTTTTATTAATTTTAATTAAATTTTTTACCTACGTGACTTTACTGAGAAAACGAAGAGTATGTTGTTGTTGTTGAGTGGGTAGATGTGCGTGCGTGTGGGCGGGTGTCGTCGCTGCACCTTCTTAGAGGTGAGGTACTCCATGCCGCGTGCCACCTGGCAGGCGAAGGCCACCAGCTGCAGCATGGAGAGCGTTTCGCCCTTCACCTCGTCGCCACCACCACCGCCACCACCGCCACCACCGCCACCACCGCCGCCGCCACCGCCACCACCGCCACCACCGCCGGCTCCGTAGCCGCCACGCGCCGTGCACTCTGCGCCGGGCGTGCGGTGTGCACGCAGGAAGTCGCGCAGATTCCCCTTGGCCGCAAACTCAACGATCACGAGCAGGGGGCCTGGGAGAGTTGGGGGGGGGAAGGGGCACAGTGAGATGTTAACTACCTCGCCTGGTATACAGGAGGTCGCGAGTTCAATTCCAACTCTGACGATGCCTGCTGCTGCTGTTGTATATGTGGAGTCTGCGTGTCTCTTTATCATCATCACGATGGCTATGCGATGTTTACTACCTCGCCTGGTATACAGGAGGTCGCGAGTTCAATTCCAACTCTGACGATGCCTGCTGCTGCTGCTGTATATTTGGAGTCTGTGTGTCTCTTTATCATCATCACGGTGGCTATGAGATGTTAACTACCTTGCCTGGTACACAGGAGGTCGTGCGTTCGATCCAGATGGATTTTTATTTCCTCCGTGTCCTACGGTTTTTCCCCTTTTCACATTTGGAATCGACGTCGCTACTAATGTCCACCAGAAATCGTCCGTGATGGCCAGGTGGCTTCCGGAACAAGAGCAACGCAGCTCGAGGGGGGGGGGGGGGGGGGTCTTGCCTGACGACATACAAACTAGTGAGCAGCGGCGGGCAAGTCGCTCTCAACAGCAAACGTCACTGGGGCTGCCGCTGTCAAGCAAAGCGGCTTGAGCTGCCGTGAGTGGTGGCGGCGGCGGCCAGGGGTCGCTGCTGAAGAGGAGCCACACAGGCAGCGGAGCGGAGGCCTCGCCTGCTGCTCGAATTGTCTACAAGTTCGTGTTGGTTTCATTGGCTTCGAAATAGAGAGGGGGACGGGGAGGTGCAATGATCACAATCCCGAGTCACCAAGAAGACGACCCAACTCTCGGCTTTGCCAAAATCACTCGCGAAGCCAAATTAGTCCACAAGGTGAAGAGTTCATCGCCATCACGAGGGAGGGGGGCTGCTCACCCCCCCACTCACCACCCCCCCCACTCACCACCCACACTCACCACCCCCCCCACGCTCACCACCCACACTCACCACCCCCCCACACTCACCACCCACACTCACCACCCCCCCACACTCACCACCCACACTCACCACCCCCCCCCCCACACTCACCACCCACACTCACCACCCCCCCGCTCACCACCCCCCCACGCTCACCACCCACACTCGCCACCCACGCTCACCACCCCCCCCACACTCACCACCCACGCTCACCACCCCCCCCACTCACCACCCCCCCGCTCACCACCCCCCCACTCACCACCCCCCCGCTCACCCCCCCCCACACTCACCACCCCCCCACACTCACCACCCCCCCCCCCCCCGCTCACCACCCCCCACACTCACCACCCCCCCCCACACTCACCACCCCCCCACACTCACCACCCCTCCCACGCTCACCACCCACACTCACCACCCCCCCCACGCTCACCACCTCCCCCCACACTCACCACCCCCCCACACTCACCACCCACCCCCCCACACTCACCACCCCCCCCCCCCACGCTCACCACCCCCCCACACTCACCACCCACGCTCACCACCCACGCTCACCACCCCCCCGCACTCACCACCCACACTCACCACCCACGCTCACCACCCCCCCACACTCACCACCCCCCCACACTCACCACCCACGCTCACCACCCCCCCACACTCACCACCCACACTCACCACCCCCCCACACTCACCACCCACACTCACCACCCACACTCACCACCCACGCTCACCACCCCCCCGCTCACCACCCCCCCACACTCACCACCCCCCCGCTCACCACCCCCCCACACTCACCCTCCCCCCCACGCTCACCGCCCCGTGTGCATGCGCCCAGCAGGTTCACCAGGTGGCTGTGCCGTCCGATCTTCTTGAGGGTCTCCAGCTCCGCGTGGAGGTCGTGGGTCTCCGCTTCCGTGGCGTAGCGCTGGGCTCGCACGCCGCACGTCCGAACACAAATTAAAAACAAACTCTTCTAGCGGTAAAGTCACCACGTAGAATGCAAATAATAAAATAATAAAACATAATAAAATAATAAAACATAATTTAGTAATACAAATAGGTCTGTCTTTCCGACAGACCTGTTCTTCACCTGAGGACGGCTGCTTGCGTTGTGGCCGAAACGTCGTGAGAATTGTATTTCATTGTTTTATTTTTATTCTTTCATTATTTCCCTTCTACGTGACTTTACCGAAAGAACCAAGAAGATGAATCCCTGCAGTCACGAAAGCTTTACATCGAAATGTAAACTTGTAGCGATCGCCCCACAAACTCCTAGTTCTAGAACCCCGCGGGCGTCACCCTTCAGCATCTTGACGGCGACGCGGACGCTGCGGTGAGGCCGTGACGGCTCCATGCCCAGCGCCTCGGCCAGCAGCACGCGGCCAAAACAACCCTCACCCAGCTGCTCACCCAGAGTCAGCCTGCACACACAGACACACACACAGACACACACAGACACACACAGACACAGATACACACACACACAGACACAGATACACAGAAACACACACAGACACACACAGATACACAGACACACACAGACACACAGACACGCGCACAGACACAGAGACACGCGCACAGACAGATACACACAGACACAGAGACACGCGTGCAGACACAGAGACACGCACAGACACGCACAGACACAGAGACACACACAGACACACAGAGACACACAGACAGACACGCGCGCAGACACAGACAGACACAGAGACATAAAGACACAAGCACAGACATAGAGACACACAGACACAGAGACACACGCACACAGAGACATGCACAGACACAGAGACAGACACAGAGACAGACACACACACAGACACACGCACAGACACACAAAACAAAGAACCCCCCTGTAGCCTTAACAGACTGTAGGGGCAAGTGCTGTTAGCGAGCACCTATGAAGGCCGGAACGGTACACAAGGGGGTGGGTGGCCAGCACCACGCCCGACCGCCTTTGTCTCCCCTGTGGCGATGTTTACACACCGCACCAGGTACTCATTTAAGGCTGAGTAGACCTAGGGGAGGCCCAGGACCGGTTCAGATAATCGTCACTGGTGTTGGCCGTGAGCGGGAATCGAACTCTGGTCGCCGGGTTCGTAGCGCAGCGTAGCGCTAACCACTACGCCATCACTCCACACACAGACACACACACTTATACACAGACATATACACAGACACACACACAAATAAACAGACCCACAGACATACACAGACATATACACAGACACACACATATACACAGACACACACATATACACAGACACAAACATATACACAGACACACAGACATATACACACAATAACGACGACAACAACGATGATAACAACAACAATGATGACGACAACAACAACGATGATGACGACAACAACAACGATGATGACGACAACAACAACGACGAACCGTTCCCGAGGGAACTCCCAGCGGTCGCACGGCCCCGTCACCCCCGACAGCTCCACGCCGCTCAGCGCAGACAGCACCTGGGGCGGCACCACAACCACCACCACCATCATCACCACCACCGCCACCACCACCTCCACCATCACCACCGACCACCGCTACCACCGCCACCTCCACCACCACCATCACCACCGCTACCACCACCACTACCACCGCCACCACCGCTACCACCAACACCACCTTCACCACCTCCACCACCACCTCCGCCACCACCTCCACCACCACCACCATCTCCACCACCACCACCTCAACTGCACCTGCATCTCCCCCTCTCCGCTGGTCGACCCTCTCCTCCTCCGCGTGAGGCCGGTGACAGCACCGATGGTGATCAGCAGCAGGAGGGCGGCGGCACAAGAACCGCCGCCCACTCTCACGGGAGCAGCCAGGGCGGTGTCCACTGTCACAGGGAGACAGGCGAGGTAGTCAACATCTCATAGCCACGTGATGAGAGGGAGAAAGAGACACGCAGACTCCAAATATACAGCAGCAGCAGGCATCGTCAGGGTCGGGATCGAACCCACGACCTCCTGCAGACCAGGCGAGGTAGTTAACATCTCATAGCCACCGTGATGATGATGAGAGAGAGAGACGCAAACTCCAAATATACAGCAGCAGCAGGCATCGTCAGAGTTGGAATTGAACTCGCGACCTCCTGTAGACCAGGCGAGGCAGTCAACATCTCAGCCACCGTGATGATGATGAGAGAGAGAGAGACGCAAACTCCAAATATACAGCAGCAGCAGGCATTGTCAGGATCGGGATCGAACCCACGACCTCCTGCAGAGCAGGCGAGGCAGTCGACATCTTACCAGCCGGCGTCTCTTGCGGCACGACGAGGAGCCATGCGGAGCGGTGAGCGAATCCCGCGGCGTTGCCCGCCAGGCAGGTGTAGCGGCCCGAGTCGTCCGTGCTGACGTTGCGCAGGTACAGCACGTCCGTCTCCACGTCCGTCACCTCCACGCCCACCGTCTTGAGGCGACACGGCGGGCGGCGCGGAGAGAGCGAGCGAATCAGCATCTTGTTTGTATACCCACGACGCAGGCTGCTGTGCGGGGTAGGGGTGATTTGGGTTGGAGCGTCGCATGTAAGCATTGTGTCGTCGAACTCGCCACCACCCGACATGGCCAACGAGTAAGATTCAGTGTCACGTGAACAAGTTTCAACGTTATTTATTTATTTATTAGGTACCAGCAGTAAGTACCCGGCGAAGCGGTGGCTTCTGAGTCCTGTTGTTTAGAGGGTGACGTCAGCCTCCGCTGAGTTTGGGTGGGTGGGTGAGTGAGTGGGTGAGTAGATGGGTGAGTGAGTGGTTGGGTGAGTGGGTGGGTGGGTGAGTGAGTGGGTGGGTGAGTGGATGGGTGAGTGAGTGGTTGGGTGGGTGGGTGAGTAAGTGGGTGGGTGACTGGGTGGGTGAGTGAGTGGTTGGGTGAGTGGGTGGGTGGGTGGGTGAGTAAGTGGGTGGGTGACTGGGTGGGTGAGTGAGTGGTTGGGTGAGTGGGTGGGTGGGTGGGTGAATGAGTGGGTGAGTGGGTGGGTGTATGAGTGGGTGGGTGAATGAGTGGGTGGGTGAGTGAGTGGGTGGGTGAATGAGTGGGTGGGTGAATGAGTGGGTGGGTGTATGAGTGGGTGGGTGAGTGAGTGGGTGGGTGAGTGAGTGGGTGGGTGAGTGGGTGGGTGAGTGAGTGGGTGGGTGAGTGGGTGGGTGAGTGGGTGGGTGAGTGAGTGGGTGGGTGGGTGAGTGGGTGGGTGAGTGAGTGGGTGGGTGAGTGAGTGAGTGGGTGAGTAGGTGAGTAGGTAAGTGGGTGAGTGAGTGAGTGGGTGGGTGAGTGAGTGGGTGGGTGAGTTAGTGGGTGAGTGAGTGGGTGAGTTGGTGGGTGGGTGAGTGGGTGGGTGAGTGAGTGAGTGTGTGAGTGGGTGAGTGAGTGAGTGAGTTAGTGGGTGAGTGGGTGAGTGGGTGGGTGGGTGAGTGGGTGAGTTGGTGGGTGAGTAGGTGGGTGAGTGGGTGGGTGCCCCCGTGCCTCGCCCGCTCACCGTGAGGACGTGCACGTAGGGTGAGCCATTGGGTGCTTCGAGGCTGCCATTCACCTCCACGTGCTTGAGCCACTGCACGTGGTGGTGCAGCTGCTGCTGACTGCTGCCGCCAGCGCTCTGCAGGACGACGCAGCGGAGCTCCACGTCGCTCCCCTCCGCCGCCGTCACGTTCGCCGGGAGGCCGTCCTGCAGCGACGGCCGCTGGGGCTGGCCACGCTCTGCACGCCGGGAGGGGCGGGAGGGGGGAGGGGGGAGAGGCAAAAAAATTACGAAATGATGAACGAAGCAAAGTGCCGACTACACCGAGCATCTTCTTGTTTCCACTGATCGTAGAAAAAAAAGAGAAAAAAAGGGGAGGGGGGGAGATGATAGGGAGAGGGGAGATGGAGGGGTGAGAGGGAGGGGGAGAGGGAGGGGGAGAGTGGAGGGGGGGAGAGTGGAGGGGGGGTCACCACCGATGACGACGAGCTGGTACGAGTGCTGGATGGAGCCGTGCTGGTTGCTGACCACACAGCTGTAGTTGCCCGCGTCAGAGGGCACCACGCTGTCCAGCACGAGCGTCCAGTCCTTGATCCTCAGCTTCAACAGCACAACAACAACAACAACATTACACATGTAACGGGTTCCGGAGACACTTGTAGATGTAACTTCTTTATTACAATACAACACTCCAACAGTCCTGATACTCTGTTACAGCCTAGGTACACAGCCTAGCTACACAGCCTAGATACTCTAGATACTCTACTCTGGCTACGCTCGCCCTCACAAGGTCGTACAGTCGGGAGTTCCAGAGTCCCAGCGCTGGCTCTCACAGCATCCCAGGGTCTTCAGATGGCTGGTCGTGGGTCTTGGGTCTTGAGTTACAACTGGCCCCGATCGTCCAGGGAGCTCCGGTTATATGCCCAGTCCCCAACGAGGGGTGGGGCCGTGTGCGCCACCAGACATCCCACAGAGCACACACAGCCCCCCCCGTTGGCGGCGCCCAGAGGCTTAAGCGTCTGGACCCCCTGGGAACCCAGCGCCTGGCGCCCAGGGGATTACGCGTCTGGACCCACCTGGGAACCCAGAGCCTACAGCAGCCCCTCCCTTCTTATGTCACTACATTACCCCCCTCTATGTAGCCTCCAGCCGTCCCGGCTGTCAATAATTAGAAAGTTTAAATTAACGAAAGGGAGAGAGAGAAGAAAAAAAAATACGCGAGCTTCAACAGGAAAAAAAAAGAGAACAAGAAAGCAACCATAAATACCATAACCAACCTGTACAACTCTACACTATATACAAGCATCAATCAACAAAAAGGTGAAGCAATGACACGTGAACAAACGACCCGCGGCACACCTAGCCCTCCTCGGGATCCGCATAGAAAATGGGGAATTAACAACAACAAATATACAGATTCCGACGCGTTGGATGCACAACCAACACCGGTAATCGAACCGAAATCACACAACCACCGCATGGATGGCAGGGATCCACACCACTCTGCCAGCCTCCCATCAGTCAGGTGGAGAGAAGGCGAAGACCAACATGTCGAGCATCCCTCTACACACACTTATCTGGACGTCTGTCTACATCCCGGGTCGAGAAGTCGTACTTCAGGGCCGACCCATGTACTGGGCAAAGAAGTCGCACTTCAGGGCTGCTCCAGTATCTACATTTTTAAATATATATATAAAATTTACATGACACAACCAAAATAAATCTGCCTGCTCCTGTCCATAAATGGTGGCCGCACGCGCGAACCGCATCTCCAAGGCATCCCGTGCTTGCGTCCCAGCAGCCCTCAATGAGGACCACCACCGACATTACATGTCAACCGTTTGCACACCCCCGCCTTTCCAACGTGGCGTCTTTATCCTAAAACCGCGCACGTCGGCCATATCGGGGGGGACTTCAACCCAGTCTCTCTCCAAGACTCGCATCGCAGCATATAGCTGTACCGACCGATCTGAGACCCAACCTCTCTCCAAGACTCGCATCGCAGCATATAGCTGTACCGACCGATCTGAGACCCAACCTCTCTCCAAGACTCGCATCGCAGCATATAGCTGTACCGACCGATCTGAGACCCAACCTCTCTCCAAGACTCGCATCGCAGCATATAGCTGTACCGACCGATCTGAGACCCAACCTCTCTCCAAGACTCGCATCGCAGCATATAGCTGTACCGACCGATCTGAGACCCAACCTCTCTCCAAGACTCGCATCGCAGCATATAGCTGTACCGACCGATCTGAGACCCAACCTCTCTCCAAGACTCGCATCGCAGCATATAGCTGTACCGACCGATCTGAGACCCAACCTCTCTCCAAGACTCGCATCGCAGCATATAGCTGTACCGACCGATCTGAGACCCAACCTCTCTCCAAGACTCGCATCGCAGCATATAGCTGTACCGACCGATCTGAGACCCAACCTCTCTCCAAGACTCGCATCGCAGCATATAGCTGTACCGACCGATCTGAGACCCAACCTCTCTCCAAGACTCGCATCGCAGCATATAGCTGTACCGACCGATCTGAGACCCAACCTCTCTCCAAGACTCGCATCGCAGCATATAGTTGTACCGACCGATCTGAGACCCAACCTCTCTCCAAGACTCGCATCGCAGCATATAGCTGTACCGACCGATCTGAGACCCAACCTCTCTCCAAGACTCGCATCGCAGCATATAGCTGTACCGACCGATCTGAGACGACCCATTGTTCACTCCCTGCACAACATGCACCCTAACAACTGAGGGATACAGTCCCAACGTAACGGGACAACTACACCTGAACACCACGAATCTCCAGCCCACTGTTTCAACGCGCCTCGGAGTGTTTCAATCTCCGGGCCGTCAGGGCGAGCCTACAGCTCCAGACGTACCACGGAGGGTCTCAACCTCCGGGCCGTCAGGTCAAACCGTCAGCTATTCTATGACGGGACCACACTCTCCGAGCCCTGTGAGCGTGCAGCCCACTAGGCTAGACATGCCACGGAGTGTTTCAATCTCCGGGCTGTCAGGTCAAGCCGTCAGCCATAGCATGACGGGACCACACTCTCCGAGCCATGTGAGCACACAGCCCACTAGGCTAGACATGCCACGGAGTGTCTCTATCTCCGGGCTGTCAGGTCAAGCCGTCAGCCATAGCATGACGGGACCACAACTCTCGTGTTAGACACGCAACACCCGCTGGGACATCCTGGTCAGGATCTGCACCCCAAGATATTTGAGAGCCAGCATGCCAATTCCAATCCTTGGCAGCATGTCACCATCTCAAGATAAATGCCCCATACAGTATATACATCGTTAACAATGACAGCACAAGCTATACATTAACAATCACGAACAAAGCTCAATATAAACCATACATTGTTAACAATCACAAGCAAAGTTTCGCACACACATTGACAACACTCACGAGCGAAGCTCCACACAGTTTACCCAACAACAGTCACGACTCCCCGACGACAACGAAGAAAATATCAACCAAAAAATCATTAATCCGGAGCGCGTAAAATGTACGAAGTGTCAGGGGCCTGGTCTCCCGACCTCCAACCTTTGGCCAGAGCAGCAAAGGCGGCGAGCAGCGAGTCGGTCCATGTGCCGGCCCCGGCGCTGGTTACAGTAAGAATGGCGCCCTCACTGTCCGGTCGCAGCGCTGATGACGCGGTATGCTAGGTTGAAGCCAGCTGTCACCCGGCGGTGAGGGACGCAGCGCTGATGACGCGGCGTCGTCGGGTTGGCACACGCTGGGCCCGGAAGTGACGTCGCTCCCAGCGGTCACTGCTCCTCTGGTGGAAGTGATGTCATTCCCGGAAGTATCTCTCACATCCGTGGGGGGAATGGCGGCGGCGGGCTCGGGCGAGCGCCGCGCCTCCTCTCTCCCTCCCGCCATCGCCCGCGAGCACCGCAGCTCGCCCAGGAGGGAGGCGGTGGCGCAGAGCAGCTCTGCGAGGCGAAGCAGCGCCTCCTCCATCTCTGCTCCCGACGCTGGAGAGGGGACGGTCGGCGGAGCAGACAGCTGCTCAGCCGGCGGTGCGGCGTTGTTGTCGGCCGGCGTTGGCTGCCCCATCGCTGCCTGCTCCTCTTCATCGCCGTCAGGACTGAAGGTACGTGGCTTACTTCTTGTCTCCATAGCCACTTCTGACACCAAATGTAACGGGTTCCGGAGACACTTGTAGATGTAACTTCTTTATTACAATACAACACTCCAACAGTCCTGATACTCTGTTACAGCCTAGGTACACAGCCTAGCTACACAGCCTAGATACTCTAGATACTCTACTCTGGCTACGCTCGCCCTCACAAGGTCGTACAGTCGGGAGTTCCAGAGTCCCAGCGCTGGCTCTCACAGCATCCCAGGGTCTTCAGATGGCTGGTCGTGGGTCTTGGGTCTTGAGTTACAACTGGCCCCGATCGTCCAGGGAGCTCCGGTTATATGCCCAGTCCCCAACGAGGGGTGGGGCCGTGTGCGCCACCAGACATCCCACAGAGCACACACAGCCCCCCCCGTTGGCGGCGCCCAGAGGCTTAAGCGTCTGGACCCCCTGGGAACCCAGCGCCTGGCGCCCAGGGGATTACGCGTCTGGACCCACCTGGGAACCCAGAGCCTACAGCAGCCCCTCCCTTCTTATGTCACTACACACACACACACATCGCCATTGTCTTACACACTGCTTGGTCCACACCAAAGTGTCGGACCAGACAATGTCACTCCCAGGACCATGTCTAGCAGCTCGTGGCTGCTTCCTGGACGGCGTGACAAATATAACAAGAGGCCGTCCACCCTTTCACCCGGCCATCAAACAGTTTGTACTATGAGACATCTCCTTTGCCAGTGGCAAAATAAAGTAATAGGTTTTTACCCTTTCAACTGGTACAAAAACTGACACCTTTATACAAGGCATCATGTTTGCAATAATACACAACACAAGCAGTCAAAATGCAAACAAAAAGGAACAACTCTGATGATGATAATGATATGCACTGTCCTTGAAGTTGATTGGTCCACACCCGAAACAGCTTTTCTTAGAGCCCAGTCTCACCCTGGTGTTGGACCAGACGCCAAAAGTTTGTGTCAAGATGTGAAACACATAATTCTAGATTTGAAGCTTTCAAGACTGCAAGGATTCATATTCTTAGTTTTTTTCGGTAAAGTCACGTAGGTAAAAAAAATTAAATTAATAAAAGTAAAATAATAAAATAAAAATCACGACGTTTGGGAAGCTTGTGTTGCCTCCGAAACGTGATTTTTATTTAATTTTAATTTTACTTTTATTAATATAAATGTTTTACCTACACAGTGACTTTACCGAAAAAACCTAAGAATATGAATGTGAAGCCCAACCCGCTCACCTGACCCCGCTCACCCAGCCCTGCTCACCCGGCCCCACTCACCCAGCCCCGCTCACCCGGCCCCGCTTACCCGGCCCCGCTCACCCTGCCCCGCTCACCCAGCCCCGCTCACCCGGCCCCGCTCACCCGGCCCCGCTCACCCGGCCCCGCTCACCCGGCCCCGCTCACCCGGCCCCGCTCACTCAGCCCGCTCACCCAGCCCCGCTCACCCGGCCCCGCTCACCCGGAAGGCCCCGAGGCGCCGCTCCTCCCCGCCGTGGAGGCGCCCTCCGTCGTGGTGCCAGGCCACGGAGGGCGTGGGCACTCCGGTGGCGAGGCAGCGCAGCTTGACGCTGCTGCCGCTGGGCACCACCCACAGCGGCCTGGACAGCGAGCCGGACATGCGGCTCCAGCGAGGGGGGCCACCAGACCCCGTGGTCGTGCGCACTTGGGGGGCGGGGGGAGAGATACGTCACTCGCCACTCACTCACCACTCACTCGCTCATCACTCGCTCATCACTCACTCACCACTTACTCACCACTCACTCACTACTCACTCACCACTCACACCACCACTCGCCACTCACACCGCCACTCGCCACTCACACCGCCACTCACCACTCAACACTCACCACTCACTCATCACTCACTCACCACTCAACACTCACCACTAAACACTCACCACTCACACCGCCACTCACTCACCACTCACACCGCCACTCGCCACTCACACCGCCACTCACCACTGACCACTCACCACTCACTCACCACTCACACCGCCACTCACCACTCACCACTCACACTGCCACTCACCACTCACCACTGACCACTCACCACTCACTCACCACTCACACCGCCACTCACCACTCACCACTCACACCGCCACTCACTCACCACTCACCACTCACACCGCCACTCACTCACCACTCACCACTCACACCGCCACTCACCACTCACTCACCACTCACTCACCACTCACTCAACACTCACCACTCACACCGCCACTCACCACTCACACCGCCACTCACCACTCACACCGCCACTCACCACTCACCACTCACACCGCCACTCGCCACTCACCACTCACTCACCACTCACACCGCCACTCGCCACTCACTCACCACTCACACCGTCACTCACCACTTACACCGCCACTCACCACTCACTCACCACTCACACCGCCACTCACACCGCCACTCACTCACCACTCACACCGCCACTCGCCACTCACTCACCACTCACACCGCCACTCACCACTCACACCGCTACTCGCCACTCACTCATCACTCACACCGTCACTCACCACTCACACCGCCACTCACCACTCACACCGCCACTCACACACATGAACACACACACGTACACACACACGTACACTCACACACACACACGTACACACACGTGAACACACACGTACACTCACTCACACGTGAACACACACACACACGTGAACACACGTACACTCACACACGTACACACACACGTACACACACACGTACACACACACGTACACTCACACATGCGCACACGCACACACACGTACACACAAAATCATACGTACACTCACGTGAACACACACACGTAAACACGTACATTCACACACGTACACACACACGCACACTCACGTACACTCACGCACGTACACTCACACACGTGCACACACACGTACACGCACACACACACGTGAACACACATGAACACACACGTACACTCACACACACGTGCACACACACACGTATACACACACACGTGAACACACACGTGAACACACACGTGAACACACACGTACACTCACACACACGTGCACACACACGTATACACACACACGTGAACACACACACGTGAACACACACGTGAACACACGTACAGTCACACACGTGAACACACACACACGTACACACACGTGAACACCCTCATACGTGAACACACACGTACACACACGTGAACACACGTGAACACACACACTTGAACACACACACGTGAACACACACTTGAACACACGTGAACACACACACTCACGTACACTCACACACCCATACACACACACACGTGAACACACACACTTGAACACACACACGTACACACTCACACGTGAACACACAACAACAACAACCGCCATTCGCCATTAAGTGGCGGTGACGTCACCACGACGCTTGTGCCAGGCCAAGTGCACCTTGAGGCCACGTGAAGTGTCGAACGCCCGCTGGCAGGAGGTCACGGGGCAGACCCAGGTGCCACGGGTCGACTGACCGAGATGACCGAGATGACTGGCTGATGCACCACCTGTGCCCCCTACTGTACCAACTTGCTGTGCTTTAGCCACCCGGCGCTCCGCTCGTTGTTGTGAGCGTCGCTCCTCCGCCCTCCGTTGTTGTTGGAGGGCAACTGCCTCCAACTGCCCAGTAGCGTCCTTCACGAGCCTCCTCCACTGAGGCCGATCTTGACACCGCTGGTACCAGTCATCGGCAAGTCCACTCAGCTCCACGTCCTCCTGTACCACATCACTCCATCTCTTCTCTAGCCCGTGCCGCGCCCGTTTAGCCCCCTCGATCCGGCCGAACAAAAGCTGTTTAGGCATGCGGTGGCTGGGCATGCGGGCTACATGACCCAGCCAACGCAGCCTTGCCTGCCGGAGGAGCTCACTGATGGGACTTTGCCCAGATCTTTCAAGGACTTGTGAGCTCCTCACACAATCCAGCCTGGTTAAACCCATGATGGATCGTAGGCAGGCCAGCCTAAATGTTTCCAACTGGCGAAGATGCTCCATTAGGGGGGTCCACGTTTCGCAAGCGTAGAGAAAGGAGGGAATGACCGTGGCCGAGAAGACCTGAAGCTTCGTGCAGAGTGACAGACCAGGTAGCTTCCACACAGCGTTATGCAACCGATGAAAAGATATTGCCGCTCGACTGATTCGGAGTGAGACCTCTGCTGATAAACTGGAGCCGGTCATAAGCACACTGCCCAGGTATGGGAAACTCTCCACTCTCTCCACAACTGCCCCATCACCGATTGGGAGTTGTGGGGGTGGAGTGTCCGATGGTACAAAATACCCAGGCAGGTGCTTAGTTTTGGTGGGGCTGATGGTAAGGCCCCACCTCTTAGTGGCACGCTCCAGTCTCAGCAGCAGCGTCTCCAACTCCTCTTCTGAATGAGCAGCTATTACCAAATCATCGGCATACATAACGTGGTTGACCAATAGGGAGCCATCCCTTGATCGCACCCGGGCGTCGATCAGCCTCCCATTATATCTGTACCAAATGGAAATTCCCCCGGTACAGCTATTGCAGGCTTCACGAACTACGCAGTCTAAATAGATGTTAAATAATGTGGGAGCCAGAGTACATCCCTGTTGCACCCCAAGGTGTACAGGGAAAGGCTCCGACTCCCGGCCACGTAGTTTTACCCGGGCCCGCTCACCATCATGAAGGTCCTTAATGATCGTGAGCAGAGGGTCAGGGACTTCGAAAGCACGAAGAACAACCCAGAGCCCAGTCCTACTGATGGTATCATAGGCCTTGACCAGGTCAATAAAGCAGAGATCTAGGTCTTTTTGGAATTCCCTACATCTCTGCTGTAGCAGACGGACAGAAAAATATGGCATCTGTGCAGGACCGCCCTTTCCTGAAACCGCATTGGGGCTCCGTAAGCCTCTCCTCAGCATGCCTAGCAAGGCAATGTGAACACACACACACACTTGAACACACACACACTTGAACACACACATACTTGAACACACACACACTTGAACACACACACACTTGAACACACACACTTGAACACACACACGTACACACACGTGAACACACACACTCACGTACACACACTCACACACACGTGAACACACATGTACACACACACGTGAACACACACACACGTACACACGCGTGAACACACACGCACACACACGTGAACACACACACACACACACGTGAACACACACACACGTACACTCACACGTACACACTCACACGTGAACACACACGTACACACACGTGAACACACACACTTGAACACACACACTCACGTACACACACACGTGAACACACACACACACGTACACACACGTGAACACACACACTCACGTACACACTCGTGAACACACGCGTACACACGTACCGTACACACGTGAACACTCACGTACACACGCTCACATACACTCACACACACGTACAAACACTGACGTACACTCACACACGTACACACACACGTACACACACACGTGAACACACACACATGTACACACACACACAATGACACATAAACACGTACACACACACGTAAACACACACACATGTACACACACTCACACACATGTGAACACACACGTGAACACACACACGTACACACACGTGAACACACACACGTACACACACGTGAACACACGCACATGTACACACACTCACACGTGAACACACACACGTGAACACACACACGTACACGCACGTGAACACATACACGTGAACACACACACGTGAACACACACGTGAACACACACCCACACGTGAACAAACACGTACACACACTTACGTACACTCACACGTGAACACACACACGTACACACACGTGAACACACACCCACACGTGAACACACACACGTACACACACTCACGTACACACACACACGTACACACACACGTGAACACACACACGTGACCACTCACGTGAACACACACACGTACACGCACGTGAACACACGTACACACGTGAACACACATGTACACACACGTACACACGTGAACACACATGTACACACACGTACACACTTGAACACACACGTACACACACACACGTGAACACACACACGTACACACACTCACGTACACTCAAACGTGAACACACACACGTACACACACGTGAACACACACACGTGTACACACACTCACACACGTGAACACACACACGTGAGCACACACACACACGTGAACACACACACACACTCACGTACACACACGTACACACACGTACACACGTGCACACACACTAGTTCCCCAGTTCACGAGTGCTTCTCCACATGGTCAAGACATGATCCTTCAAGCATCACTCACAGTGACCACCTAAAACACTAAAGCTGAAACACAATCAACGACTTCAAATACCTTCAAACCATTTCCAAGTATTCGCTCATAGCCGCACCCAAGTCTATTGTACTTGGAGTCTGCGTCTCTCTCTCTCATCACCACGGTGGCTATGAGATGTTAACTACCTTGCCTGGTCTACAGGAGGTTGTGGGTTCAATCCCGACCCTGACGATGCCTGCTGCTGTATATTTGGAGTCTGCGTCTCTCTCTCATCATCATCACGGTGGCTATGAGATGTTAACTACCTCGCCTGGTCTACAGGAGGTTGTGAGTTCGATCCCGACCCTGACGATGCCTGCTGCTGTATATTTGGAGTCTGCGTCTCTCTCATCATCATCATCACGGTGGCTATGAGATGTCAACTACCTCGCCTGGTCTACAGGAGGTCGTGGGTTCAATCCCGACCCTGACGATGCCTGCTGCTGCTGCGTATATACAGAAGTTGGCGGTGTCTCTCTCTCCTCTCTCTCTCGCCACGTGCTCCGTCACAATCACGATGGCGTCACGGCCACGCGCGCGGTCCTCACGAGTTGAAGCGACGGGAGAGAGGGGAGAGAGGAAGACGCGGAGCTGGCAAAGAGCGATGCTTGAGCCCCCCCCCCCCCCCGTCTCGTTACCTTCGTGAGCGGCCACCACCGCTAAGACGGCGGCGGTGGCGGCGATGCAGACGGCGAGGAGGGACCCCAGATGCCTGCCGCTGCTGCCGCTGCTGCCGCTGTGCAGGAGCGCGGAGACGACTCCCATGGAGGTCATGGTGCTGGTGGGGTGTGGATCGTGGCGGCGGGGAAATCGGTTCGATTCGCCGACACTCTTTTCCCGCGAGATAGACGAGGCGGTGAGAGAGAGTGCAGTGGCGTGTGGAAGGGTGAGTGGAGTGTTTCAGAGTGAGTGGAGTGTTGTGTAAGAACATGGATGCTACACCAACTGCTATTGCTGCTGCTGCAGTCTAACCCCAGCCAGAGAGAAGGACCCCAATGAATGATTAACCCAGCCAGAGAAAAGGACCCGTATGAATGATTAACCCAGCCAGAGAGAAGGACCACAATGAATGATTAACCCAGCCAGAGAGAAGGACCCCAATGAATGATTAACCCAGCCAGAGAGAAAGACCCCAATGAATGATTAACCCAGCCAGAGAGAAGGACCCCAATGAATGATTAACCCAGCATCAGTTTTTGTCTATCACATCAGGTTTTTGAGATATCAAATATTGCATTTTCAATAAAAACTGCGGAAAAAAAATATTAAATAAATGTGGATATCTACATAAAATGATATTGTAAACACACTATCCTAAACATACAGCACCATATTTTAACACTAAAGCAGTCACTGACTCGCAACAACTTGCAATCATAAGTGACAGAGTTAATGTCTGGTAAAATCAATGAAAATGGGGTATGCCGATAGCATAAAAATGAGATGTGATAGAGCAAATCTGAGATCAGATTTGGAATCAGCACCCTGAAATCAGTCTAAAACTACACACACCACACACAGACAAAGCTACCCCAGGTAGCTTCTAACAGGGCTGTAGGGGCAAATGCTGTTAGTAGCAAGTAACAGCAGCAGTGTCTATGTACTACACACACCAGGCACAGACAAAGCTACCCCAGGTAGCCTCTAGCAGCGCTGTAGGGGCAAGTGCTGTTAGCAGCAAGTAGCAGCAGTGTCTATGTACTACACACACCACGCACAGACAAAGCTACCCCAGGTAGCCTCTAGCAGGGCTGTAGGGGCAAGTGCTGTTAGTAGCGAGTAGCAGCAGCAGTGTCTATGTACTACACACACCACGCACAGACAAAGCTACCCCAGGTAGCCTCTAGCAGCGCTGTAGGGGCAAGTGCTGTTAGTAGCAAGTAGCAGCACCTATGAAGGTCGGCACAGCACACGAGGGGGTGGGTGGCCAGCACCACGCCCGACCGCCTTGGTCTCTCCCCCAGTGCTAGCGATGTTTACTCCACACCGCCGCTACACCAGGTACTCATTTTGAGGCTGAGTCGACCTAGGGGAGGCCCAGGACCGGTTCAGATCATCGTCACCGGTGTTGGCCGTGAGCGGGAATCGAACCCGTGTCGCCGGGTTCGTAGCGCGGCGTAGCGCTAACCGCTGCACCGCCGCTCCCCCCAGCTGTACACAGACACACGCACAGTCTGCACAGACTGCCGGGGGAGGAGGCAACTCACGTGGACAGCAGCAGCACGGGGCAGCAGCAGCAGCACGGGGCAGCAGCAGCAGCACGGGGCAGCAGCAGCAGCACGGGGCAGCAGCTGACGGGTTGGGTGGTGCTGGGGGTGGAGGCGCGGCCACCCGGCCCGTCACTAGAGCCTCTCTCTCGTTGGTAAGGAGCAACACCAACATCAACATCCACGATGCCGCGAGAACCACCCTTCCTTAGCAGTGGTAACCACCCTTCCTTAGCAGTGGTAACCACCCTTCCTTAGCAGTGGTAACCACCCTTCCTTAGCAGTGGTAACCACCCTTCCTTAGCAGTGGTAACCACCCTTCCTTAGCAGTGGTAACCACCCTTCCTTAGCAGTGGTAACCACCCTTCCTTAGCAGTGGTAACCACCCTTCCTTAGCAGTGGTAACCACCCTTCCTTAGCAGTGGTAACCACCCTTCCTTAGCAGTGGTAACCACCCTTCCTTAGCAGTGGTAACCACCCTTCCTTAGCAGTGGTAACCACCCTTCCTTAGCAGTGGTAACCACCCTTCCTTAGCAGTGGTAACCACCCTTCTTTAGCAGTGATAACCACCCTTCCTTAGCAGTGGTAACCACACCCACCCAGGTTACCTGTGTAGTGGTGATACGCACTGGGATTAGGGATCGTATGCCAGCGCGTAATGATTGGCTGTGTATGTGGTGACACGCGCTGACGGTGGAGGATCAGGGGTCAGCGCGGGGTCGTGGGTTACGGGGTACTGATTGGCTGTGGGCCGGTGACGCGCTGAGAGGGAGTGACCGGGTGGCAGCGCGGTGTGATTGGTGGAGTGGTGTTAACACGCGCTGGGGAAAACGGATCGTAGAGAGAGTGCGTCGTGATTGGTTCACTAAGGAGCGATGCTCACGTCGACGTCCGCATCAGCTCCGTCTCTCGTGAGCAGGGGCTATAAAAGGGGATGCACACAGGCGTAAGGGCAGTATGTAACCAGCGAAGAATGAAGACGGGGATGAAGACATAGGGCCCTGCGGTACCTAGTCCCGCTGTCCTAACGGGACCGGGACTCTGTGTAACCCAGAGGCGAGTGTAGTGTGTGTAGCCATAGGCATAGAGTCTACACGAGCCGAATGTATTGTGTGTAGCCAGAGGCATAGGGTCTACACGAGTCAAGTGTATTGTGTGTAGCCAGAGGCATAGGGTCTACACGAGTCAAGTGTATTGTGTGTAGCCAGAGGCATAGGGTCTACACGAGTCAAGTGTATTGTGTGTAGCCAGAAACATAGAGTCTACACGAGTTAAGTGGAGTGTATAGTCCAAAGGATAGAGACCACCCGTTGTATTGTGACACGTCAAGATTTAATAAAAGTGTGTTACCCGTCAAGAAGTTCCTGCCGTCAATTCCAATACTTCACCTGCACTGACCACTCACCTGATTCACCACCTGTACACACACACGTACACACACACACGTACACACACACACACGTACACACACACACACGTACACACACACGCGTACACACACACACACACGTACACACACACACGTACACACACACGTACACACACACGTACACACACACACGTACACACACACACGTACACACACACACACGTACACACACACACACGTACACACGTACACACACACGTACACACACACACGCACATACACACGTACACACACACGCACACACACACACAATTAATTAAGTGGTGCAAATCAAACTGTGGCCCTTATCCGCTCTACCAATTCCACTCTGACCGGGGCATTGCTCGCCTATCCGAGCTACCAATTCTCCCCTCCATTCAAAATTTTTGTTTAATGTGTTACAACTTTTAAAACCTCCTTTTATAAACGATTATGACACCGCTATAACATTTGTCCCACGGTCAATCAATCACCACCACCATCATGTTGTATGTGTCGGGATTATGAAATTTTGATGAAAATAATAAAAATTAATAATTTTCCGAAAAATGCGCAAATCGCATTAATTATGATAGTGTGTGTATTAACATGCATAAATCATGATAATGCGTGTAATTATATGCATAAATTATGATAATCGTAGTAATTTATGCGGATGCTTGCGATTATGTTAATGTGTGCAGTTATGATAATTTGCTTAGTTTCGTTTATCCAGGGTTATATCAATCAGGATAACACGATTATCATCGATTAAACATTTGCTGATTATCTTAGTGTGTTTATTATTTTTAAGGTCTCCAGGTTCAGATCTCATCACAGGATACAGTTGTCAAGAATAAGACAGTTTTGCATGGACTTGGAAAGAAGCACTCGAACAGTTGGTGTTAAGCAATTTTAATTCTAAACAAGCACATGACACTCTAGTATGCGAAAGCGAGTATACGTCAATAAATTCATGGGCAATCTTATGCAATTAACGAAATTGAATGACTAAAAATACTTCTTCATTGGCGAAATTATGCAGTTAACGAAAATGAATGACCAAAACATTTCTTATTCATGTAACTCGACGGCAGCAACTGCTTTGCACGATCAGTTGATATTGAACGCACCACCTCGAAATGGCAACCCTTTTTGAAACGCAAAGACAGTTTTTCTTTTAAAGTCTTATTCGTGTGCGTGCTGTGTGTGCGTTGTCCCCTCGTAATATTAATTGTGTCGTTAGCTTGTGTGGTGTGGGAGGATACGAACAGCGGCCAGATGTTCCTCTCGATTGGGCGTGGCCGCCGCAAGCTCCTGCTGCTCCCTCGCTCGGCGTGTCGCTCGGCTTTTGCTCTCTCTCTCTCTCTCTCCCCTGCTGGATTGAGCGGCGTTGGCACGATGCTGTACTTGAAGATGCTCGGTCGCTCGTGTCGCTCGGTGTCGCTCGGTGTCGCTCGGTGGCGCTCGGTGGCGCCCGGTGGCGCACGGTGGCGCAGGGTGGCGCACGGTGGCGCAAGGTGGCGCACGGTGGCGCAGGGTGGCGCACGGTGTCGCTCGGTGGCGCACGGTGGCGCCCGGTGGCGCACGGTGGCGCAGGGTGGCACACGGTGGCGCAAGGTAGCGCACGGTGGCACCCGGTGGCGCACGGTGGCGCAGGGTGGCGCACGCGCTTTCTTGGTGGCAGCCCCCGGCTTCTCCACTGCTCGATTGATTGTTGAGTCGGCACGATGCTCGCCGTCGCTCTGGACGTCTTGTGTTTTCACACTGGTCGTTGGTCGGTGTGCCCTCAGGCACACGGCGCATTCGATGTCGCTGTCCTCTCCCTCGCAGCCGTTTGACCAGGCTTCCTCCACTGCTTCGCGCTCTCTGCTTTGCTCGCTTGGTCGACGCTTGGCGATCTCCGCCCTTTTACAGGTTGATTGCTTGTCGTCACTCGTCACTCTCTCTCTGCTCCGTGCTTCCCCTTGTTCGTGCGGCTGCCAGCTTTACTCGCACTTAACTTCGTTCTGCAAGAAGCGACACCTGCTATCGGCATCGGTGTTTCGTGTCCTCACGACGCTCCACCAGCCGGAGCACGGCTGAAACCCAGCCCCGACCCAGGTTGAACTCAGACTTCTGCGACTCGAACGACTCCTCCTCGTTCCATCACTTCTCGAGGCACAACCGCCCCAGCTCTC